CCCCAAAACCCCAAAACCCCATGTAGAAACATAAATTTATTTTTGATTAAAACAAAATTAAATATAAGAGTTGTAAGTTAAGTTGTTAAAGATTAATAATCAAATGAGCTTTAGTCATTCTGCTTTAGTCATTCTGTTTCACTTTATCATTTTTTATAACATCAATTCTTCAATTTTCTTTTCCATCATCTCCATTAGCTCATCTCCTTCAATATTCATTCTAGAGACATAGAGTCCTAACTTCATTACTTCTAAGTGAGAGAATATTGAGAAAAAACAATACGATCCTCCGAATGTGCAAGTAAATGACATAGCTCTTGTTTTAGCTCCACCAAATTGTAAAGGAGCAGTAGGTCCATTCAAATTAGAGATGCTAATTTTAGGTGAAAGATTGATCATTGCTGGAATCAGATTATTAAGAACGAAACTGGGCATAAAGTAGCTTACCACTTTTTAGATGTAAATTACAATTAGCTCTTTGTAACTGTTTTTGAGCAAACTCATATGATCTCTTCCTTGATTAACCACAGTTTGAAAATCATACTCTTACTTCATGTCGCTGAATATTAGTTCTGAATGAGCGTAGTTCAAGTAATAAAAATCTTCAACTTTATCAGGTCTTCTCTTACAATTCATTGCAACAGCAAATTTAATCTTTTCATAGTTTTAGCCTTTTTTGGCAAAATAATCTCTCATTGTCAAATTGATTACTGCCATCATTAAATCATTAACAGTACAATTAAATTTCTTAGCAAGCTAAAGGACATTAGAAACCTTAAAATCTTTCGAAATTGATTAAGAGGGAGCTTTATCAACTGCCTCCCAACAGGGTGGATCAATTTTAACGGGGTCAACAACATTCTTTGGTGGGATAAATGCATAATACAAGAAAAAGAAAGCCATTAAATGTTTCATAAAGCTATCTACAAAACTATAAGGTTTTAGTACAGGCAATTGCTTATGATCGAATGAATCTTATAATCCACATGCAGCCAAAAGTATTCCAACTCCGTCTGCCAAGCCATGCCCAGTCTTTATTATGATACATGATTGATCCTTCATAAAATTTTTGATAAAGTAAATTCTAAACTGTATAGAGCAATTCTCAATTTTCTCGGAGCCAATTTTTGTGATGTACTGCCCTAGCTATTTTTCATCTTTGATATCTTCTTATACCTCAATGAAAGCTTATTTCCACTATGATTTCAATTCTGCTCCCTTGAGTTCTCTAAGATACAGACTTCCAAAAAGCTCTACATACTTAGACCTGAAGTGCCCCAGATGGTTGCCATTCTTTTTAAACTGTTCTTTGATTGAATCGATGCTTTTTATCTAGTCGGTATATGCATACATCAAAATGTAGCAGTCAATCTTATTAAATAGCAGATCTGGACCACAAGGAACTCTTTTAAGTCCATAGAAACTCATAATTTTATCGAAAATCATATCATAGAAGATGTATATTAACAGACCATACACAAAGCTTTCCATGAATGACCAAAGATAGTAAAATATAGTTAGCCTTATTGCGAAAAATAAGTGAAGTTAGCTCATGATTTTAGATTTGTAAGCAAATTTTGTAAGTAAATAATAATATATTGCTTAAATATCTTATACAGCCATTCATTTACTTAAACTTAATATTAATTTTAGATTATTTCCAATAATATTAATCTATAGTTTTTATGTTATTCTAGCTTAATGGGGTTTTGGGGTTTTGGGGTTTTGGGGTTTTGGGGTTTTTATATTTACGTTT